TTTATTTAAGAGGATTTACATACTCATGGTCTCACATGGCTAAATCTGTCATCCTAAAAAAGAATTAGGCTTCCTACACTGAGTGTCTGTCTATACGATACAGGCCAAAGAGGAATCTGTCCATCAGCAGAACAGTAATTTAGTTGATGCCCTTCAAAATGCAAGCAATAAAACTTGCCTCTCACAAAAAAAAAAAAAAAAAAAGAAAAGAGTATGCAGGGGATGGAATTTGGGATGGGAGCTTCTTTTGGAATGCAAATGCAGCATAATTCGTCTACCATTGGAGAAACAAAGCCATCATCATCAGATATAGAATTTGTACTACCATTTTTTCCCTAAAAATGACAATTAAACTCAAGGCATTCTCAAGTTAGGATGAAACTCCAGCAGATTTTGTGCACCCTGAAACAGCACTTCATTCCTAAAATAAAGAAGGTGCAGGTGGTACAGCTGAATGTACAGAGCTGAGCAGACTGGGAAGAAAATCTTTCAGACTGGTGCTCTGGAAAGGCCACATAGATGTAGTTGCTCAGGTAGTTTCTCTAGGCATTACATTAAGTATAAGCACAAAGGAACAAACAGTTCCAGTTAACAGTCACATATACAGCTGTTCAGAGAGAAATAGTATTTTTTGAGAGAAAATCAGGCTAGCTCATATGTATTTCAAACACCAAACAAACAGGTCTAAATTAACAAACCACCACCAACAACAGAAAGGTACAGTATTAAGTTAGTTGCTCTAGAAGGACCAGAATGTTTGTGAACATGAACACTTATCAGATTTGAAAACATGCATCTGAATGTTCAACCCAGAAGGGCTTGCTAGCTGTTTGGCAGGTCAATGCCAGGAGGCACCACAGGAACCAGTCACATCCCATGGTCTTGTGTGCTCCCAAGGCATTTTCTGAGCACTAGTTTGATCATGCAGCAAACAAGACGCTGTCAGAGCACACTAAGTTTAGTGCATTACCCATGCACAGGATTAGCCTGCTGCTAAAAGCTTTACTCTAGATCATAACTTGGAAAATGGGTTGTGTAGTATTATTTCAGCTGGCACTATGGAGCTCAGGACCCTCTGCCCAAAGGCATCTAATCTCTCAGAAATTTGATGTGCTCTGTATGTCAACTGCTGCATCTTACCAAGTTGCCTGAATTTCAGCTGAAGGGGTTATCTGTGGCTGGATCAATAAGGCTCCATGACATTCAGTCCTACTGCTGTGCTGAGAGTGACAACAAATTAGTGCAAATTGTGTGAGGACTTTTTCACCAAAAATTGTGATGAGGCTGGAAATAGTTTTGGATCACTTATCCCAGGTTTTGGTTTAATGATCTCTTCCCTCACAAGGATGGAACTGCTTTTAGCCTGGTACTTTCTCCTGATTGAACTATGCTACGCCAGTGGATAGATCAAGGATATAATCAAATCCTGCTTGTCTCCTCCAACAACTCATAATCAGTGACTATTGGATATGTGTGAAGAATGAGCCATTGATTGCTTAAATTTTGGTCCTTGATCAATTGGGATGTAATTTCCAAAAGTGTTCAGCCTAACTCTACTTGAATTTAAAAACATTTCAGTTCTGTCACATAAGTCAATAAGAACCGAACTAGGTTGAGGGAGCTGAACTAGATCGACACAGGCTGCTTTTGGATATCCTACCCTAAGAATAGGCCAAGGCATAATTTTAAATAGAATGAAAATCCCCATCCTGATAGTTTCCCCAGAATTCAAACTAAATCTTTAGAATGTTTGGGGAAGGGATAGTAAGTTACTTCTTCCCAAAAGCCTTTCTATCCTCTGTATTTCTCTACAATAGCCAGTTTCCAGCTGAGAGAGGTACTGAGATCATGATGCTCCTGATCTAAATCTGACCACACTTCATAGCAGAAAACTCAGTATTGCTGTGAAACTCATGGTTGCAAAAGCCAATCTGTGATGGAAAATCAAAGCCTACTATTCCAACTATAGGTAACCCTAACTGTTAAGGAAAGGTCTACTTGAACTTCCACACCCTTTCAATTCAGAGGAAGGGATGATAGGATAAACTGGGTTGATGGGACATCAGCAGGTCATCCAACCCAACCTCCTGCTCTACACAGTGCCAACTAAGAGGTGTGATCAGTCTGCCCATGGCTTTAACCAGTCTGGTTTTGAAAACCTCCAAGAATTTAATGTAAAGACTTAAAAAATTAATCTGACTAATTCTGAACTCTATGGCAATGTCTGAGTGTCAACATAAAGATCCTAGGAGTTTTTAAATACTGACTGGTTCTGCTGCCATACTTTAGATGAGCCTTATAACACATAGCTGTCAGTCTACTGAACAATGTTACCCTGGCAGGTGCTTCCTCCATTCTCCTCATCCCATGCAGAAGGTCAGGTGTGTTGGAGGCCTGGGAGGTTAGTTGTCTCAGAAATGTGAAGGGGAGGTTCTCCCTCTTTGATTTTGCTGTTACTCTTCTGCCCAGACTCTTGATGCAAAATTAAAAGCAATAAATTAATCATATTTAAGTAAAGAACTATTTATCTATCACTCAATTTGTTTAAAAAAGAGGTATACTAATAATGTATTTCCACCACTGATTAGAGTCTACATAGTTATAACGAGGCAGGGAGGGTCTGGAATTCATTGCAATGGAGTACAAGCAAGGTGTGTCTGTAGCAAGGAACATCTTGGAGTAATTTTTCCTTGTTACAACATGCACAGGAGATGAACATTTTGCAGCAAGCATCCTAGAGCAAAGCTGAAGAATACTTGCACTTGTAGGCATACTGTATGATTCAGGGTATATTCAAGCTCATGCAAGATGTGGCTATGTCCTCCTCTCTCCTTGCCTTGCCCAAGATGGCTCAGACTAATAACATAACCTAAATCTTTTCTAAAGGACTTGAGGCCTGAAGCTGAGTTTTGTCTTAAGGTTTCCCTGCTCCTTTTTCTCCAGCAGGAAAACATAACAAGAAAAGGATGGAAAACTCCTCACCATCTCAAACAAAGCTTCCTCAGGTTCTTATCACTTCTTGTTCCAAAGCAGTTGGTACCTAGTGGGTGAAGAGGTATTAATGAAAGTTCCTCAGCACAGTTATCAAAATGTTGCTTGAGATAGAAGAGAGAAAAGCAATATTGCTGTAGAGAGGCAGGGTTATGGTTGCGATAGCACGTGCCTTTTCCACCTGGCTGCTCATTGCTCCCAAAGAGGACAGTGCTTTCTCTTCATGGAAGTAAACAATTGAAGTCCAGTCTTTATGATCACTAGCAAAATGAATGCTTAAGTAAAATAGCTAACAGGAAAGACATGGCTTAAAATCCCAGACTGAAGAAAGAGCATTCATCCACTTAAGTTAGCAGCCATTGTAGCACCCTGATGGCTTATCCATTTTGTATGTGTCCATATGCCTATACGGAAGCCAGTTTTACTGTGTCAAAGGGCATGTAGGTTATTTAATCAGTTAAAAAAAAAAAAAGTGACCATTTTCTCTTAGTGTCTTTCAAGAGTTATATAAATTGCCTTCAAAAAAAGTAATGTGTGTAGAGGGATTTCTTTGCAGTTCTGAGCCATGTGCAGTACCTTTTTTTATTTGTCTCCCAATTTTTCTCATTGCAGGCAGTTTAAAAAATGTCAGCCTTGTCCTAAATCCTTTCTAATTGGAACAATAAAAGTTAACACTTCTTCAGTTATGCCATTTAGTTAAAAAATGTCACTGTGACACAAGTAAAGCAGTTGTACAAAGTACTCCAGGGCACAGACATAAGAAACTGCCACCAATTACTAGAGGAGTAGTTTTAAAAGCTATAAAATATGACCATTTTTAACACTTTATTTAAAAATAATTTGTGTACCTCATTCTGCTATCTTCACAGCCTTTTGGTGATCTTATGAATGTATTCAGCCTAACACTAGTGAATGTTGACAATTCTTTATTACTCCTAAAGTTTTTAAAAATCTTGTGAAATTCTGATTTTCTTGTCAACATATGTATCCCCATCAAAGTAAAAATTAGGTCAAACTCCAGTTCACTGACATCAGCAGCACTTCTGCAATAGGTCTGAGTAAAATACAGACATTTGTAGCAAGTGTGGTGATGGTTGTCTAATGGACTGAGTGGGAGATGAAATTCCTGAAAGCTTAAGGTTTGACAGCAACATGACAAGACAGGTTTTGGCTATGAACAACAGAGCATGATGGATTTGACTCTGACAGGGGTAATATAGAACTTTATGTTTAACATCTCATGCAAGTAGAAATGAAAAGAGATATTCAGGCCTACACTGCTGTGGTAGGTATTACCAGGATCTCCGTAATTATGAGAAAATAAGTCCAGTGTCAGAATGGTATTAGACAGACATGCAGTTCTCATGGAAGGGTAAACATACTAGCTATCCAAATAGGATGAAGTACCCAGTAACTCTGAGGGTCTGCACTAAATACCCACACCTAGTTGGAAACTCACGGGAAAGTTTGTTGGCTTTGGGTGTAGGAACTACTTTCTAAATTCTGCAATTTCTAATCAGCCATGATGTGTAACATAATGAGTGTGATCTGGACAGAACGAGGGATTGGCTTACTTAAGGAATATTTCTAAATTGATTTTCAATCAGGGGAAAATATGAGTGGTATCAGGAAGTTTATACTAAAACACCTTAGCCACTACCCTAAGGAATCAACTATATAATTTGAAACTGATGAAGCAAGAGTCAATTCTAGGCAGATGGGGTCTGAGGACATGGCACCAGCTGAAGTAAGTGTAAGGTAAACCAGTAAAAGTAAAGAGAAACTAATAGCCATCCTACATGCAAAAGCCAGATGCTAAGAAATGGATTGTCCTTTCAAACTAATAACCTCTCTATCCCCATATGTATACTCAGCCAGCTGCTGATGTAAAATTAAAGACTTTTCTCCTAAATAAATTAGTAAGACAGTATAAATAAAGGCATATAGACCATTCCTAAATACTCTGTTGGCAACAGAACACACTGGAGCTGCCTTTGCTGATAGCTGCATTAACAGCCGCAGTTGGGCTGCTGTGGAGGAGGGGTGTCCTTTAGCTGTGTGTTCTGCTTGCTGGCAGCAATGGTGGGATCTGTCTCCAGACTCTCCGACATTTTGTCGCAGATGATATCGACAAGTCGCTCAAACGTCTGCTTGACATTAATGTTGTCCTTGGCACTTGTTTCAAAAAATTCAAATCCTAAGGAAATAAACAACATGTTTACATTCAATGCATATTCCAATATCTCCAATAAATACACGAACTTCTCTTGGGCAAGAAAGAGTGGAGAAACATTCAGGAAGCAAACATGTAAGAGCACACATATAAAAGAGTGGTATTGGAAGAGCAATTGAAATTTTAACACAATCAGAGTCATTACACTAGTGCTATTTGCTTTACACTGAACCAGATAAAATCAGGACTGGCCCAAATACATTCCCTTACACAAATTCTACTTCAAACCGGTTTAATCTAAAAATTGACATCAGTTCAAGAGTATTATTATTTTAGAAATGTGCTATATATCCAACCGTTGGAAAGGAATAATCTACTGCTTGATCTCTAACTATTATGTTCCTTTGAACAATATTCAGCTGGAAACAGCCACTTCCGTTTTGTGCCGAAACAGACAACTATGTTTGGGAAAAAGCACATGAAAAAACAAGCAATATAAGGAAAGATTTATGCAATATGATGTCTACTTAAGTTATAGGAGAATCCGTGGGACCAAAAGGACTCTCAATCCCACAAACCAAACTAATTAAAAAATACGCAGATTCACAAAGGAAGAAAACTTCCTTAATTAATTTATACAGAAGGACTGTTTATTTATCCATCTATCCCACTGACTAACCCAAAGGCAAAAATCAGAGCTATCCTTAACCTACAAGGCACACTGGAAGCCTTGTGTAGGAGAGCCAGCTTTCCTAAGCTCCTCCTGTCTGCCCCCATTTGTCCTATGTCTCATGTCCAATGCCTGCCTCCTTCATCTGGGCCAGGTCTGCAACTTGCTGGTCAGCTGGCAATCCAGCAGGTTCTGCTAGCGCTGAGTCTTCACATGCTCTTGCTTCCTTTGCAAAGCATTATATTTTTCAGTTCATTTGTTTTCTAAGCCTTTTCCCCCATACTTCACCTTTTCCCACAGTTACCACATTGCTCACCTGTGGGTTCCCCGCTAATTTAAAGCTTTCTTCTACTTCTGTCTTTACATTATCCTAGTGTTCAATATTAAAACAGTTTACAAAACGTCTAATCCGCTGGTAATTTTTCAGAAGTGGCTAGCGTTCCCACAACTATTTTGATTCTTTCTGATTAAATCCGAATAGCAATGTGCAACAACCACCATGTTTAATTATGAGAAAAATCCCAGTAAGAAAATGTTAATCACTTGAAACTCTTGTCAAAAGGGCAGAAAACAGCTTTTTGCATTTTTTTTTCATGTTGTGTGTGTTTTCTAGTGAATGGCCTAATCTATTTTGAAAGGCCACTTGAAATTTAAATGCATCTAAGTTGATAACTTGCCATCTAAACAGGATGTAATGTGCACATTCAGTCCTATAACTGCTTACCATGTAGCTTTTGCATGTTTGAGTACTAGAGTAGAATTACAGCAGACAATTATATTTAACTTGGCATGATATCCCAGCATGCACTAATAACCAATGCAAAAGCTTAGCCCTCTTTTGAATTTTCTTCATATTTTTAATTTAGGTAAGGTGCCTTGTGCTGAAATGTCACAAAGTGCTAAACTGGCTAAATGCATAGGAACCACACAGAGGCCAAAGGTAGTGCACATACGTAGTTTAGAGAATAAGAGATATAAATATTGTACAGGGATTTGGTCATATTAATTCTATTAATATCACCAAGAAGTGTAAGGATAGCCTCACAGGTATGAGTATACATTGCCATGAAAATTTTTGTTTTTCACAGTTCTCTGGAAAGGAGGAAAATTGTGCATAATAGAAGACCATCTACAGAAAACATATACTGGGAGGAGGTTTGAATCTACATGGAATTGTTTTAGTTTAGCTTGGCTTACACATCTCCTTTGTTCTAAACTATAAGGAAAATGGGAAAAGCCAGTGTAGCCTCACTTGCTGGTGCTTTTAGCTCTCCCACAGAACTCCATGCAGGGGAAGACTACCCAGGTCATTTGGGGACTGCTTTGGGGAAGGAAGATCCTTCACATTTTCAGTGCTCTGTGTTGAAACCTGGCTGCAACTCTTGCACAGCAACACAGTCTGATACTTCCACAACTGTTAGTGTCTGCTTCACAAGAAGCAGGAGGAAAGCAGCTGTTCCAAACAGGAACAAGGAGGACCAGAGGGCAGAAGAGTTGAGGGATAATGAGAGGATGCCTGAGAAATGGCACAGCAAAACCTTGGAGAAAATGACAGGAAGGAGAATGAATCTTACAGTCATTTATGAAGGGTGCAGTTTTTACAGATAAGAAGACAGAATAACTGGCACATGAGATGGTCATGAAATGGCAGATAGGACAGGTAAGTAAGTGACCTGGACAGAGAAAAGCAGAAACTGAAAGGAAAAGAGTCACAAAGAAGAGAGGAGACCCATGTCAGGAAATACTGTAACATGGTCAGGATCAAGAAAAAAGGCCCACTAGCACAGTGAGGATGTTCTACATAGGAACACCCTGAAAGACTTAGAGGCACCCATTCTCTAAGTAAAACAGAGTCTTACAGAGTGTTCAAGCATGAGCATATTTGTTCAAATAAAATAAAAATTGATACTACAGCTGCGGTGAAATCTATGGAATTTCAGTTACAATTTTGATATAAGAAGGAAATTGCAGTCACAGTAGTGGTGAAGATGGGTATCAGGCTATGCTTGTACATACCTCCCATCAACCTAGTCGTTAATTGCCTCGGTGACTCAGGGCCTCCTCAGCTAGACCCTGCATAGATGAGACAATGCACTGGCCTGTGAGAAAGTGACTGAACTCCCAGCTGTGTCCACAACAAAGTATTTGCTTTGTTCTTTACAGGTACTGTAGAGGTGGGAATTTTGGACAGTCCTGGACATTTGTCCAAGCAGACTTTGCTGTGCAGTAGCCATCTGATAGGCACTAATTATATGCTGAGATGTGCTGATGAACATCCTAAGTAGATGGCATCTACATCCTAAGACAAGGCATGCTGGTGGGTTCTCCCCAGGCAGTTCCTACTGTAGAATGGATTCAGCTACACATAGGTAAGACACTTGTAGATGGTCTGTGGAAACTATTCTTGTGGATGCAGAAATGGTCACACAGAACAGTCTTTTGAAGCCAGTTAAGACAGGTATGAGATGCTTTGTGCACAGTTTAAAGCAATTACTGCCAAAGGATTATGGTATGTAGTGAGAACGTAGGACCAGCTGTATTACAAGAATTCAGCAGAACAAGAGTTCAGAGAGTCTCTTTTGATGCAGCTGAAGATACCATTGCAAAGACCCTTGCAACAGAGGTTCCTATTGCTATCTGGACAGCAACTGGCTGTCGTGTGCAGGGGATTCAATTTCCTATGTGACTGTTACCTTATGGAAAAGATCTCAATAAATTAGAGTATCTCTTTTCTTTGTTTAACAATAACTCTCTTTGTGGAACAGTTTCAAAGAGATAGGGATCATTTTTTCCTAGCAGAGTGTGCCTGAAATAAATACCTGAATTCTGATTGTTTTCCATTTTGTTACAGAATATTTTCCAGATCTTTTCCCCCATGAACTCCTCTTGTCCTCACTCATTTTGTAATTATTTTACTATATAGTGCTTAGAGACCTGAAGCTTCTAAAATGCTTGTGTATGAGGGCCTCAGATCTATGCCTTTTAGTACTTTCTTCAGGTTTTTTGCCACTGCTTGTATTAATGGAGAGAAAAGTTTTTCCATGTGAGTATAAGCCCGAAGTGAGGCAACTCTCTGGTGATGTTCAGGGCAGCAGAGCTCAAAGAACACCATGTTCCTACCACCCGTGGTGATCTGTACTGCCTATTCAGTAGGCAGTACAGATCATGCGCATGAGACTGGACCGACAGATTACTGCAAAGTTCTGACAAACCCCAAGAGGCAAGTGGGTTGGTAAGGCAGAACAGAGCTGAAACTGAGAAAATGCAAAACATCAAAGTGCTGCCCGAACATATGAACAATGTGTGTGGAACATGCATCAGGATGTCCTAATTTGAATGCCTCTTTTGTGTTTAATTCAGTTTTCTCTTTGCTGTCCTTGCACTATGCCTCTTTCCCATATCTACCTTCTTCCCAATAGTTTTGACTCAAAGCTGGCAAGTTCTCAGCAGCTCACGCAGAGCACTACAGCAACAGGAACCAGACGGGACACCGGCATGGGGCTGTTTTTCACCTGGTGAGCTATAATGCACATAGAGCAGCTTAGATAGCTGCCCTGAAACATGTGAACACTCTGACTTAGTTCCCTCTCTGACTCACACTTGTACTGGCTCTGCAGTCTCCTTCATCACAGTGCTCATTAACACTTGTTTATGCCTGCTTTTGAAAAACAAGGAAGGGAAAAAAAAAACAACCCAGAACAGAGACCCATATGTGAAGGGAAGAACATTCTGCACCCTCTCATCTTCTTGAGAAAATGTGACATCAAGAGGACACACTAGATAGCAAATTTTAAGCACAATTCCACAGACAATACAGACAAGATCTATGTTAATATTTCACCAGCTGATCAGGAAAACCTTCTGGTTTCAGAGTGTTTGTCCACAATCAAAACAATTTTATTTACCACTCCTGATGTTATGTTTAACAGATGTCCTCAAGAGTGTGTTCCCACAATAACTATCCTTCCTTGAAGATAAGCTCGAACTGTGATCCTTAGTGCTGCTCTTGCCAGTGCCTTGTCCTATCCAGTATTTTGAGGAGTAGTAGGAGAGTGAAATGTCAGAGCAAGAAGCGTCTGCAGGAAGCTGCTACCTTTGTAACAGAGTGGTGTAAAAGGATAAAATCTAGGAAGCCATGGGAATTAATCATTTAACAATGACAAAGGAGAGAAGCTAATGACGCCTTTTTTTTTCTTGGATTTGCATCCTGTGGGCAGTTCTGAGGGGGCACTGGCAGGCACTTATCTTCTTGCCTGCTGTGAATAGTTTCTAATAATATTTTATTTCACATTGCAGGCTGTCAGTCAAGGAAATTGCAAGATCCTTCTCCTCTGCTCAGATGTCCACTTCTTCA